TTTTTTTTTTTTTTTTAACATATTTGGTACAAGGTCTACAGGGTCTCACTACAGAGATTAAATTCATAGTGATCCACCTGTTTTCAGCCTCCCAAGCACTTAGATTACAAGTGCATGCCACACCCAGTCTCAAGGTCTCAAGTCTCAGCACACCCAGGGGGCAGGGCCGGCACAGCAAGTTGAGAATTCAACCCTTGTCCCTGCACCTGCCTAAGCAGGCACTTTAGTCTGCTGAGCTATCAAGCTGGCCCTAGGATTTACTTTTAACACTCTGGTGGTTTACCATCAGGTTTATCTGGAAATAACCTCTTGTGATCTTTTAATGCAACATATATGACAATGTGCAACAAATTTCTGCCATGAAAAAGCAAGCTTCATATGTGCTATTACAATTAAATTAGGCAGGAGAAACCCAGTGTGTGTGAATGGTGATGGGTTTCTGCCAATGGAACCCTACTGGGGCATTATGGCAGGTGATCCAGCATAGATCTGAGTCCCCAAATAACATGTCACTCCAGCACCAACTTCCTTATTCTTCTACTCCCAAGACAGACATTGTCTCCTTTTCACTCTCATGCCAAAGACCTTCCCCAGGCAGGACTCTTCCCCTGAACATGCAAACTGCACCTCAAGCTCAGCCCCATAAAAACCCACTCCCAGCTCACTTCTCCGAGGGTCCCTTGTTTCTCTTCAAGCAGCCCTCCAGCACCTCACAATAGTGGCCTCTTTTCTTTCTTTCCTGTCTTTCATTGGCACCAAAGGAAAAATCTTAATTTTGGTGCCATGGCACTTTTAGCCCTCTCCACATGGCCAACCCTCTCTCCTGATCCCACCCATGCCCCTCTAAACCCTCTCAGTCTCCTCAACAGTTTGCTGAAGTTCTAAATAGGTATCGATTACCTTGCACACAATATAAGGGAGGGAAAGAGGCTTGCTCTTTGCATGCCTCTCTTTTTGCTTTTTGCTAATTTTGCTGTTTTCCAACACTGTGAACTACTGCCCCCTGCCATGTGCCAGTCTGCTTTGGAGCCAGCTGAGTGTGAATTGAAACTACTACAACCTGTGAGCTAAATAAACCTTTTCTTTCTTACTTTTGAGTATTAGGTGTTTTGTCACAACAATGAAAGAAAAGTAACTAAGACTAGGCTCAAATCCATGCAATTAGGAATAAAAAGGGTAAAATCACAATGCACTCTGAAGAAATCAAGATCATCTACTTCTACTTTGAAAACTTGTGTTCTTATAAGATGGACAATGAAGGAGAAATGGAACAATTCCTAGATATATATGAATTATCAAAACTAAATCAAAAAGATATAAAATTCTAAATAAACAATATAATTCAATGAAATTAAAAACTACCAACAAAGAAAAGCCCAGTCCCTATCAGATGCACTGCTAAATTCTACAAGATTTTTAGAAAAGACCTAACACCACTACTTCTCAAACTCATTAGTGAAATTGAAAGAGAAGCAATCCATTTCTGGAAGCCAGGATCACCCTGATACCAAAACTGGAAGCTCAACTAAACAAGAGAATGATAGCCCAATCTTCCTAATGAAAACATAGATGCAAAATTCCTCAATAAGATACTGGAAAACAGAATACATCAAATTATCAAGAAGATTAAACATGAGGACCAAGTGGGATTCATCTCAGGGTTAGAAGGCTGTTTCAACATACATAAACAATAAATAAACAATTTAATACACTATATTAACAGATCCAAGGACAAAACTCCTATAATGTCAAAAGATGCAGAAAAGGCTTTTGATATAGTTCAGAGGTCATTTATGATAAAAACTGTATAGAAAATTGGAATAGATGGGCTTTACCTCAATCTGATAAGAGCCATCTATGACAAAGCAACAGCCAACATCATACTAAATGGTCAAAAATGATAATCTTTCAGTCTAAAGTCAGGAAGAAGGCAACGATGACCTCTGTCTCCATTCTCATTCAACATAGTCCAGGAAACTTCAGGCAAAGCAATTAGACAAGAGAGAGAAATAAAAGGAATAACAGTAAGAAAAGAGGATGTTAAATCATCATTATTCACAGATGACTTGATATTCTACATAGAAGATCCCACCAAAAAAATTCCACCAAAAGACTTCTAGATTTACGAGCCAAATTCAATAGCATAGCTAGATACAAAGTCCACACTCAAAAATCATCAGCATTCTGGTGCACACAAAACAAACTCACTAAAAGAGAATAGGCAAACAACACAATAGCATACAACAACAAATAACACAATACCTTTCACAACAGCACCCAAGAAAATGAAATACTTAGGAATCAATCTAACAAGGGAAGTAAAAGATTTATACATTGAAAATTATAGCACTCTGAAAAAAAAAATTGAAGAGGATTTCAGAATACGGAAAGGTATTTCTTATTCATGAATAGGAAGAACCAACACTGTGAAAATGGTAGTACTTCCAAAACTGTTATACAGATTAAATACAATCCCAATCAAAATACTATTAGCATACTTCACAGACAAAACATTACTAAAATTCATCTGGAATCAGAAGAGACCTAGAATACTGAAGTCAATCCTGGACAACAAAAGCAAGGCAGGAGGCATCACAATCTCTGACTTGAAATTATACTACAAAGTTACCATGTCAAAATTAGCATAGTACTGACCAAAAAATAGACCTGAGGATCAATGGAACAGATTAAAAGATGCAGACATAACTATAAACACACTCAGCCACCTTATATTTGACAAAAGGGCCAAACATGTTTGCTGGAAGAAAGATAGCCTCTTTAATAAGTAGTGCTTGGGGGGCAGCCTGATAGCTCAGCAGACTAAAGCACATGCTTAGGATGTGCCGGCCCTGCCTGCAGGGCGCACTGAGATGGCAATTGAGACTGGGTGTGGGGCCACATGCCTGTAATCCCAGCTCTTGGGAGGCTGAAAACAGGAGAATTAGTGCAAGTCTGATCTATGTAGTGAGACCCTGTTGGCCCTGTCCTAAATACAAAAAAAAATAGTGCTCAAAACACTGGCTTTCCACATGTCAAATGCTGAAATGAGACTCATGTCTATCATCATGCACTAAACTAAAATTCTAATGGATCAATATTAAAACAGAAACAGTAAATCTCCTGGAACACAAAGCATGTAGAAATCTTGAAAATATTGGAATAGGTAGATAGTTCATGAACAAAAACCAAACTACATGGGAAATACTTCAAAGAATCAACAGCTGGGCTCTCCTCTTACTAAAAAAGTTTTTGCACATCAAAAGAATTCACCAATAGTGTGAAAAGAAAACTCATGAGTTGGGAAAAACTTTTAGCTGACTGTCCCTCAAAGGACTTCTGTCTAGAAAATAAAGGAATTGAAAAAAAGTCAGGTTCTCAATATTCAAAAACCCAATACAAAAATGAGCACCTGAGACGAATACACACTTTCCAGAGGAAGAAATACAAATAGCAAATAAATATATGAAAAAATATTCAGCATCATTGGTCAGGTGACATATGCAAATTAAAACAGCACTGAGATTCTGTCTCATCCCAGAAAGAATAGCTATCATCAAGAAGAAAATTATTAACACATTCAGGATGGGCTGTGGCGAAAAAGGAACCTTTCTTCCTGTTTCTGGGAGTGTAGACTGGTACAATTATTGCAGGCAGCTGAGTTAGATAAAAATATTATAGGCAGTCAGACAGAGCCAGGCCCTCAAAGGAGACAGCACAGAAGATGAGATGCCTTACAACTGTGGGAGGGGCAGATGCTCCTGCTGTGAACCAGACCTAAAGACCTAAAAGCCAAACAAATGCTAAATGGGTAGCACCTGGGATTGATATTCTAAATAGGTATCAATCTCCTGGAAAGACCCAAGAGAGTTACTAGCCCAACCCCCAACAGAAAGAGACCCTATCCCGCATTCCAACCCCCAACAGGAAAAGACCCTGTCCCATATGTAATCCCATTGCTTGACCATAGTTTTGTCCCACCTCCTGCCCACCTAAGCGAGTTCCCATTCTGTCTACCTTAGCCTCACATGGTTTTACCCTATAAATTCCCTGGAAGAGACAGCTTCCCGGGGGAAGTACCCATTCGGGCCCCCCTCCTGTCCCTCTCTTGGACAGGAGCTTTGTTTCTCTCAATAAATATATTCTGCTCATAACCTCCATTTGTTCCTAGAATTCTTTGTTTGGTTTTAGAGAACACGAACTCCTGCAGGTCAGGTCAGGAGATTGTTTTTCTCTATGTCATTTGGAGGTTCCCTATATGGTTTGGAGGTCACCCACTGAAACCAGTTTTTCTCCCTGTATCACAATCACTATGGAAATCAGTGTAGGGATTTCTTAGGAAACAAGGATTAGAGGTCTCCTTTGGCCCTCATATTGCCCTTCTGTATATCTCCCCAGAAGAATTAAAAGCGTCATACCACAGCGATGCATGTGAAGCCATGGTTATAGCAGCACAATTTGTAATAGCTAAATCTTGGAAACAATCCAAATGCCTATTCTGAAGAATGGATAAATAAGGTGGTCTTTTTGCACATAGGAGTACTATTCAGACATAAGAAACAATAAACTTGAGACTTTCATAGGTAAATGGATGCAACTCAAAACCATATTCGTAAGCAAAATAAACCAGATGCACATGTGCAAACATCATATTGTCTCCTTAGTGTGAGGAGCTAATAGTGTAAGTGTCAAAATGCACAGTATATATTGGGAATGTAAAGAAACTAATCAAAACAAGAGCACTGGGTTGGGGGAAAGGAGAAAAGAAAGAAATGAAAAGCTAAATATAAACAAATAAACAAATATTTTTTCAAGAAAGTTAAAATAGTTATACTATTAATTTCTTTTAGTTCATTGAATAGAAAGATTTGGGCTAATGTTGTTGGGATAATTAAATGCTTGTATCTAGTACTTTGAATAACTAATTTAAAGATAACAATACACAATATATTAACCATTATTGCCCTCCTATTATCTTGTTTTGAAATTCTATTTAAAAGTATATATATGTAGTGAACCAGATCAGACACAAAAGCTTCATTATCACATGATTTTTCTCATAAGAGCAATTCCTAGCATAAATAAAAAGCAAGATAAAAGTCATAAAAGGAAAAGGGGAGGGAGATCTTTGCCGCTAGGAAGGGGACCAAGAGAGGGAGACTGGAAGGAAGAGGGAGGGTGAGGAGACACATGAAGAAGGAACTTGTCATGCACAAATACGACAGTCCATAAGGAACCTAAGTCCTAGCTTGTTGTTTTCCTTTAAATAGCAAGTCACTGTTACTGTTCTTTCTAAGCAATATTTTCTACTGAAAATGCATCCGTACATCAGTGCTCCTCAGAAATTTACAGATCTGTGCAATTATGAAAGGAGTAGAAAGATTGTTTTCCAATGTAAATCTCTAAACTCCAAACATTAGAGTAAGTAACTGATTTTTACTTCCCATTCAGCAGCTAGATTTTAGCCAGTCCCAAAAAAAGGAGTGATGAAGATATACCACAATACCTGAGTTATTCCTCTGGAGCTTTCTTTTCCAGCTGTAAAAAAGCAAGCTACCTGTATGTGTCTTAAAATAAATAGCTCAAATATCTTTTAATGAATAACATCTATAATATCACCAGCTCAGTCATTCACCCCTTCCTCTAGTTTTATATTAACTTGTAAGTTTCATTGAACCCATATCCTCTTTTCTCCTTTTTATTTTGTACTCTTTCTACTTCAACCTCTTAGGTATAGTTCCTGTGTCTTCCTCACATATTCTATCAGCTTAATTTCTTTATTTCTTAATTTAATTTTGAAAATAACAAAAATCAGAGACAAAAACAGAAACAGGATAACATACAATACATATGTTACAGATCTTCAAAACAAGAATGGCTGATTAACAATGGTTGATAACTATTATCTATTTTTATCGTCAAATCTGTTGCTCAGATTAATAGATATAGTTATGTAAGATTGGACATATGATTGGATATTACCACTTGCTTTCAAGGAACCTTAAATTTTTGTTCTTGTCTCTTTTTTATTCTTTTTTTACATTTTTAAAAAATTTGTTTTAAGGAGAGTATAGTAATAATGGATATGATATTAGAAATGGTACACATTTAGAAGACTAAGATAACAGATATTCAAGCACGGTTTTGTATTACACATTGCCATCCTTCATGCAACTGCTTAGATTGCAGATATCAGCCTGTAGAATTAGTCAAGGTGAAAACTGTACACATGAAATGCTCTGCTTTTTTAAAAAATTAATTTTATTGAGAAACAAATAGCAATGAGACATTTTCAAAAGTAGGACAGTTTCAATAATGAGTACATTGCACATTGTTGTCTTTGTAATAGTTATTCATAGTACAAGATACAGACATGATATCCTGTCCAAACACTATTAGTATAAATTTTTCTTCTCATTAAATTAAGAAAAAGTAGCTGTGTATCTATCCTAATATATATATATATATATATATATATATATATATTTCATTGCAAAATCGTCCATCATTAATATTCGCCTTTTTTGTTTAGTTTTGTCACTAATGAATATTTTTAGTACAATCAACTCAGCCATCCTGTGTACATACTTGCATGTTTTTTCCTCTAACATTTTTTCTATCCTTTCTCTTTTCTCTCATCTTCATTATTTAATCTATTTTACTATATCTTTTATATCAGCTTAGCTTTCTTTATAATCATGTTTGTGAATTCTAGTGATACTACTTGAGATATTTATCTTGTACAAAGAAAGAAATCAAAGTATAACTAGAAATTAGAGTGGGTCTTTTAAAGTTAGAAATTTTAGAAAGATAAATTATGTCTTCAGTTCCTTGTATTGAAAGTAGAAAAGCCACTACTTTAGCCCCCAGCTACAGAAACAAGATTTCAATTTTCCCTGGGGCAAAGCATGGGTAAATCTATATATGCATTCTTCTTTGCTTAGTTCTTTGCTTTTATTTTCTAAATTGTGGTATTTCCTTATGCTCAATAGGTTGGCCAAATTGTGAGTAAATTTGTTTGTTGGTCTTTCTAGGCTTTCCTTATACTGTTCATGATGGTAGACAGGTAAATGAATCCAGAAACATGTGGTCCAGATTCAGGCCTCTAACCCAATTCCTCTGCCAACAGAATGATGACCATGAAAGAGGTAGCTCTCCCAAGCTTAGAATGTTTTAAATATTTAAATTGTGTTTTTCTTTTGATTATAATTTCCATCAGTCTAGGTTATAATTCTCTTGTTGCTAGGACAAATACTTGACACTCAAAATGAAGGAAGGAAAAGTTTACTTAGCTCATAGTTACCAGAGGTTTCAGTCCATACTTAACTGGCTCCAAGGCAGAGTGGCACAGGGCAGAGAGCAATGGCAGTAAAGAGCAGAGAGCAAAGGGAATGGCAGCATCTCAGGCAGCTACCTAGCCTCTCTCCCATCCTTATATTGTAATGCAAATTACCTGCCCCAGGGCAATTGTAGCATCCACACCCACAATAATTTGTGTGTGTGTGTGTGTGTGTGTGTGTGTTTGTGTGTGTGTTTCTACTTAATACAAAGGCTACAGGGTTTCACGACATAGATCAGACTCATAGTGATCCTTCTGTTTGCAGCCTCTGAAGTGCTGGGATTACAGGTGCGTGCCACCAGGCCCAGTCTCAATCTCAGTCTCAACATGCCCTGGGGGCAGGGCCAGCATGGCAGCCCCAGGAATCAACTTCAGCCACTGCATCTGCCTAAGCAGCAGGCGCTTTAATCCACTGAGCTATTTGGCTGGTCTCACACCCACAATAATTAATCACAAACTCCAAGAGTATTCCCATGACTGCATGAGGCTTCCAGAGAACAACTAGACATAAACCACAACACCATCTTTAATTCATTTCTATCTTCTCATATTTTACTCTAGACATCGAAGAGAAGCTGTGTTACATCTTGAATATTTAAAATTTTCTTTGACTAAAAGTCTTGTTCCATCAGTCATAAACTCCACCTTCTACAATACACTAGAATGTAAGCATAATTCAGCCAAGTTCATTCCTTTATAACAATTATTGCCTTTTCAGTAGTTTATAATAAAACAACCCTAATTTCTATGTCAGAGGTTTATGATTCTGTCAACATTCTGATCATGAACTTGAGTAATTTCTGAAAATATTGAAGTTGTTTCTATAGTTCACCTTTTTTCTCAGCCCTTATTTGAATGAAACAAAGCCCTTTTCACAAGAGTGCATCTCAAAATTCTATTTTTTAACTATCACTGAGTTACAAAGCCACTTCCATATTTACAGGTATTTGATCCATCTCACTTCTTGGCACCAATCTGTGTTAATCTACTCTTGCTGCTATAACAAAATATTTTAGAGTAGATCATTTATTTATTTGTTGTGTATTTAGTGTAGGGTCTACAGGGTCTCACTACACAGATAGGACTCATAATGATCCTCCAGTTTTCAGCCTCCCAAGCGCTGAGGTTACAGGTGTGCACCACCACGCCCAGTATCAATCATCATCTCAGCATGTCCCAGGGGTGGGGCTGGCATGGCATGCTGGGGATGGAACCCTGGTCCCTATATCTGCCTAAGCAGGAGTGGAAAATTCAGAAATGATAGAAATTTAATTCTCAAAGTTTTGGAGATTGAAAAATCTAAGGCCAATGTGTTCGCAGATTCAGTGGTTAGGATATACTCATTTTTTATTCCATAGTACTCTGCTTTTGAATGTTTATATGGCAGAAGCGGTAGTGCAGTTCCTTTCAACCTTTTTTATGAGACACGGGTCTCTTTTAATCTCCCTTTATCTTTTTTAATAAGGCATAATGCTCATTAATTAATTACTTCTCCAAAGGTCCCACCTCCTTCTCTAACTTTTGGGTAAGTTTCAATATCCAAATTTTAGAGAGAAACAAATGTTAAATCCACAGTGATAGAAATATCTATCTCCTGAGTGTTTTGTTTTCTGTATTTAGGACAGGGTCTACAGGATCTAATGACACAGATTAGACTCATAGTGATCCTTCCTGTTTTTCAGCCTCCTAAGTGCTGGGATTATAGGTGGGTGCCACCATGCCCAATCTCAATTGCCATCTCAGCGCACCCCTGGAGCAGGGCTGGCATGGCAGACAGGGGATCGAACTCCCAGCCCCTGCATCTGCCTAAGCAGGTGCTTTAATCCCCTGAACTATTTGGCCAGCCCTTCTGTTTGCTTACTTTCATCACCACAATAATACATCTCCAAAATTATATTTCTATCAATAAAGTCAGTAAATACCAAATATAGCTAAATAGTGTTATAGTAGTACATCTCTACATTATTACCTATGAGTTACGTAGATTATATTATTATGAATTATATAGATTGTATATTATAATTATACATTATTACATACAAGTTATACAATTATTGTATTTTATCTTACCATATTTAACTACTGATGGGCACCTATGCTGTTTTCCTTAATTAATTATTATGAATTGTGGCACACTAAGCATAGGTATGCTGGTATCTCTATAGTATATGTACTTTAATTCTTCCAGAAGTATGCTGTGTTTATTAAGAAAACTCCATGCTACTTTCAATAGTTGCTGTACTAATTTACATTCCAGCCAACAGTGTATAAGTGTTTCTTTTTCCCTGAATCCTACATGCACACACACACACACACACACACACACACACACACACACACATTTAATGATAACCATTTTGACTGGGATGAGATGGAATCTCTGTGTAGTTTTGAATTTTAATTTCCCTGATGGGTATAGATATTGTATTTGTTTCCATATATTTATTGGCTACTTGTACTTCTTCCTTTAGTATCTAATTAGGTCATCTGGCCAGTTACTAGCTGGGTTACTTTGGTATTAAATTTGCTTTTGAGTTCTTTGTGTACTCTGAATGTTGACTTTCTGTTGGACAGGAGTAGCTGACAAAGGTTTTCTGTCATTAATTATGTTGTATCTCCATTCTGTATTTTTTTCTTTTTGCTAAGAAGAATGTTCATTTTGTGATGCAATCCCACTTGACTTTTCATGTAATTTCCTATGCTGTTTGACTCATTTGTAGTAAGTCGTTGCCTGTACCTATAACTTCTAGTGTTTCCTCTATATTTCCTTCTAGTAGTTTCAAATTTTATTTCATACACCTAGGTCTTTGATACACTTTGAATTTAACTTTGAACAGCATGAGAGATAGGATCTAGTGTTAGAAACTGTTTTTTCCCCAGTACATTTATAGGAATCAAATGGTTGTAGTTGTAATGATTAATTTCTGTGTCCTTTATTCTACTTCATTTTCTGTTTATATTTTATGCAGGATTCATACTACTTTGTTAGTGTGACTTTGTATTACATATGCAATTGTGTATTATGATACCCCCACCATTGTACTTTTGCTCAGTAATGTGTTTGATATTTTAACAGCATTAATTTTACTGAGCCATGATGGTGGAAAGCTTGTCTTCCAGGGTTTTAACTTCCATTTTTAGTGTATTATAATTTTTATGATAAAGGTGTTTTACTTACTTTGTTAGACTTATGAGGAGACACTTTATACCAGTCTATACTCCCACCAACAGTGGCAA